GAAGCAGGCTCCCCGCTGAGCCGGGAGCCCGATGTGGGACTCGATCCCAGGACCCTGGGATCATGACCTGAGCCGAAGGCAGACACTTAACCATCTGAGCCACCCAGGCGCCCGGAACCTTCCACTTCTTGATGGCTGCTGCATACCTACAGTCCGGCACAGTCTTTGGCACACAGTAGGTGTCAAATAAATGCATACTGCATGAATGCAAAGTGGAGGGAATGCCCTGGAATGAGGTCAGAGATCTCTCTTCCCCTTGACGGTCTTCTGGGGTGACTGAATTAATTAGCTGCTTTTCAGAGGTCTCTGTTCCGAGAGAGCCTCCAAGCCATCCCACCACTCTGGTGTACTGGGAGCTGAGTGGGGCGTGACGGCACGGTTGGTGGGTTCTGCCTTCTCTGCATCCCCCCGTGCCCACCCCTGGTCCCTTGCCTTCATCCCTGCATGCTTCAGAATCCAGTTCTAAAGGGAGGCTCTGGGTCCTCTCAGTCTGGGTGGGCCCACTGGGGGAGGGGAGTGGGGACATTAAGAAGTCTCTGGTCAGAGTTACTCTGCGTGGGGGGAACTCACTGCAGGAGGACACTGGGAGTGTGGGGTCCCGAGTTCTGGTCCTGGCTCTACTACCCCACTGCCTCCTCGTGCCTCTGGGGACTGCCTCTCCCGTTTCCCCTTCCGTGACATGGTCTCTGGTTCCTTCTAGCTGGGGCCATTCCAGATTCCAAGCAGCCACCAAGGGGCCCGGATGGGGGTCCTTCTGTGAGATCCTGCTCACCACTTGCCAAGGGAGAGGGGGAGGACATTCCCTTGCTGAACAGTGACCTGAAATTTAAGCTGACCCAGACACTTGTCCCACTCGGTTGCCAGGGACACGAGGGAATGCTCAGAGGCCTGACGCAAATCGGGGCTGAATTCTTTGTGGATGGCAGGCTGGCCTCTCTTGCGGCAGCTTCCACAGGGCGGTGGGCAGGCCGAGGGCGCCGAGGGGAGGATGGGAGGAGGGCGGGACCGCAGGATGCTCTGGCATCTTACCCGGAGCCGCACCAGCTGGGTGACAGAAGGCTCGTTCTCCCTCAGGGCCCCCACATAGGCATCCTTCTGGAAGGTGGGCACGTTGTCGTTGACGTCCAACACGTTGATCCTGACCCGGCCTGTGGTCTCCTCACCACCCCCATCCCGGGCAATGACTGTCAAGGTGAAGCGCTGGATGAGCTCATAGTCCAGTTTGGCGATGAGCATGATGAGCCCTGTGTCCTTGTCCAGAGAGAACCTGTGTCAGGCGGGACAGGGGAGAGAAAGGGACCCTGGTGTAAAGCAAAGCGGCTCACAGATAAGGCCTGTATTTACCAGCCTGTCCTTGCCCGAGGTGATAAACAGAATAAAGTCAGAAATCTGCTGTCTTTTCACTTGCCCTGAATCAGAAGAGTGCCTATTTCTAACATGGAGTGGGGTGCGAGGTGGTGGGCAGGGGTGAGGACCACATGGGGGAGGGGAACAGTCGGGTACTGAAAGGGCAGGAGCAGGTTGATCTCGTCAGAGAAGAAACTCAGGCAGAATGACCCTCCTCCTGCTGTGAACAGGAGTTTCTGCCTACTGTAGATGTTTAGATGCTGGAAAACAATCATGGTCAGAAATTCTGCCATCCCAGATGGTTTTGCACCAAAATGTTTTAAGTGGGTGGTAAAGCATCCAGCTAGGAGAGGGGTGGTTGGTCATCTCTCGGGAGAGAGCCCTTCTCTTCTGCTCCAGGGCGGAGCCTTGGCTAAGAGCCTAGCAACTGTCTCCCGGAGAGAAATGAAGTCCAGCGAGACCATCCATCTGGCCGCCTCCTCTAAACAGCCCCTTGGGAGCCTCCCTTGAGTTGGAAGTTGGCACCTGTATGCCCGGATCTGGTCCTCCGAGCCTGGAAGGTCCTGGCTCCAAGACCAGGAAAGAAGATGGGAAGAGATAGGGAAACCCAAGTTGATCAGGACGAGGCCGTGTGGACACAGGTGCCCTGAGGGATAGAGGTGCCCTGTGCATGCCTCCTGCGGCTGGCTCCTTCCTCCCCTCTTGACACTCCAACCGGAGTGGCAGAGAACGGCCAGATGTGCCTAACAATCTCTGTCTCTTCCCGAGCACTCCCACAGACAGCCAGGGCCCAGAATGCAAGCTGACAGCCACTGTCTTCCTCATCCTGTCGAGCGTCCAGATGCATCAGACCCTTCATTTTTAGAAGCAGACCTGCTCTCTGACTTCAACTTGGCTTTTGATCATGTTAAAAACGAGAGGGTTTCCCCTTCGGCTTAACTGAGGACAAGGGAAAGAGATGGCCCAGAGGCATGGTGGGTGACAGGGCAAGGCTCCCCCAGCCGGGGGGTGAAGCAAGCCACCCACCCGACGGCTGAGGTACGAGGCGGGCCCCCTCCTGCTGGAGGCCGGGCATCCCGGTGGTGAAGACCCCATGCAGAGGCCAGGCCCTAGGGCTTACCAGCTGTGTGACTTTGGGCAAATGACTCAGCCTCTCTGAGTTTCCTCCTCTGCAAAGCGCAGATGATAACAGTGACCAGTGCTTGGGGGGATGAAATCCGATCACGTGCGGCAAGCCCTGGGCGCAGAGCCTGACACACAGCAAGGGTTCCCAGATGCTAGCTGCTGCTATGGCCTTCGCCGGGCGCTGTCACCAGTGTTTCCGAGCTGCTTCATTCCCAAAGCTAAAGGCTATCTTTTGAGGGTCAGAGAAGCGATGCCTCCGAGAGTTTAGAGGACTTGGCCAAGACCGTGCCACGGCCAGGGTGACGCTGGCCGTGGCGCCCGTGGGTTCTGACTCCCCGCTCAGTGCTCTAGCCACGGCGGCACAGCACTGAGAAGTTTCCTGAACCTTGAGAGTAGCAGAGTGCCACTGCTGGGGTGGGGACGGGGTTGGGGGGCGCTGGGGCAGGGTCTTACCGGTCAGGGTCATCGCTGAAGAAGTAGTTGACTTCCCCAAAGGTGCCCACGTCATTGTCTGTTGCCTGCAAAGGTCAGAATGAGAAGTCATTGCTGCCAGACCCAGCGAGGCTCCTGATCTCACCGGGAAATGTCCATAGCCAACCCGTGGTCCTCCCACGCAACTCCTCTGGCTGCATTTTCTAGAGGTGCGTTCGTTGTTCCGTACGGGGGCCCCCAGGAACCAAGCACTATTGACAGTGACAGTGGAGAGCCCAGTTCTGGAGGATCGGTCTTCTGCCTAAATCTCTAACGTGGGGAAACCACCCCCTCTGGACTCCTGTCAGGCCAGGCAGGCTTATGCTCTGCAGAGGCTCAGAGGGCTTGGGGAAGAGGTCTTGGACCTGTGGCTTGGGGGTCGCAACTTGAAGGTTTGCAAAGTATTGCAAACAAAGGTGGAAGTGGGTTCCACCATCTGGTGGACTCTTCCAGTGCTTCTCTCCCAGTCCCCAAAGCATCCATGTGGGATGTGCTTCCCGGTGGGAAAGGCCCCTCGGGGAAGGGGCGATTCTAGAGTCCTGCCCCGACACCCCTTCCAGCCTCAGTTTGGTTTGTGAGTCCAGCAAGACCTCTTTTACCCGGGCTGGTCCCGCCTGGCTTCTGCCACTTGCAGTCGAAAGAAACGGGGGAGGAGGAGGAGAGGCCTGCCTCACACGGATGACTGTGGCAATGTTGGTGACCACTGCCCGCCTATGCTGTTGTCCTGCCTTTTACATTTTCAAAGACCACGTATGGTTATCATGACCTCATTTTATCCTCACAACTGTCCCACATGATGAGGAAGACAGACATTTCCACCCATTTTGCAGATCACAAAACTGAGGCCCCGACCCCAGTGAGGCCCATTCTAGGTCACGAGCCAGGTTACGAGCAAAGGGAGGCAGAAACAGGGATCCCGACTCTCAGCCTGCAGTTCCTTTCTTTAGGCCACCCCAGTGGGGCCCCCCTCCATCTCCTGCCTTCTCCAGGACGAGGGCAGCTTCAGCAGAGGTTTGGCTTTTGTGGGTGGGACTTCCGGCTTCTGCCTCATTCTTGGCACGGCCATAGTCCACAGTGTAGGTGAAATGACACCATTCATTCGTTCGTTCATTCCTTATTAAGCACGCACTGTGTGCTGGGCACTGGGACTCTGCCCCCTTCTCAGGCCACTCACTGCCCTGGAGCGGGACAGCCTGCGGCTGCTGCCACATAGCAGGGGCAAAGGCTGTGGGCTGACCTTGGGGACATCTGCTTTACATTCAGGGCTTCTTGATGAGACTGTGATTGGATAGAGTTTCTGCTAATAAAAATGTTTCTTTTATTTTTTAGCTTTAGTGAGGTATAATGGACAAATAAAATGGTAACAAATCTAAGGTGTACAATGTGATGATTTGATATACGTGTATACTACAAAAGGATGTCCCCCACTGAGTTAATTAACACATCCATCTCACCTCCCTTATTTACCTTTTTTTTTTTTTCTTTTTTGGTGAGAACACTTAAGTTCACTTAAGTTCTACTCTCTTAGCAAATTTTAATTCTACAATACAGTGTTATCAACCGTAGTCATCATCTTATACATTAGATCCTCAGACCTCATTCACCTTACAGCCGAAAGTTTATACCCTTTTACCAACCTCTATTTCCCCCACCCTCTGTATCTTTGTACTAAGTATTTTTTGAGGTTCTCTTTCAAGTTCCTAGATTCTGTGAAATCTATTAAATTCCATGTTATGATAAACCTGAATGTTTGAGAAAAATTTGTGTTCAGTATACTTAGTTGAGGAAGGCAGATAAGTGAATAACATATTTCAGTACCAAATGATCCAAGTGAAAAAAAATATTTAGACCCAAAGGGTTCAGATCTCAGTTATCCAGGAGGAAGCCATTTCTGGGGCCGGGGGCGGCCTCTTGTACCAGATTCCCATTCAATGTCCCCACTGTCTGCGTTCTGGAAGACTGTATGCAGACTTCCACTCGGCCAGGCTCCGAGTGCACCACAGGTTCTCAGGGATGCATGTCGAATAAGTGACAAAGACGACGCTGAGCCGTGGAAGCCACCCTCATACGCAGGACTGATTCCTGGACAGACCCTCCCTGGTGCCCTGAGCCACTCCTCATGACAACTGTCATTTACTGAGCACCTCGCACTTGTCACACATTTTATCTTCAGAATCACCCTACAAGGTGGGTCCTATTATCAGCACCACCTCCAATTTAGAGACAAGGAAACTGAGGCACGGAGAAGGTAAAGAGCTCCCCCAAGGCTTCACAGGGATTTGAAGCTGGTGTTGTCTTGCCGAGCCCTTGGCCTCAGTGTGTTATTGCTTCTGAACCGAGAGGACAGCTTGCTCTCAGAAGAACCTACGCCTGGTGATTCCAAGGGAGAGAAGACAAAGCTCCTCAGAATAAGGTCTCTTCCAGGGACCAGAGGAGAAGCGGGGAGGAGTCCCTAAGTTCCCTTTCGCCCCACCAATCATCATCACCACATGTGGTAGTATTCAACTGTAGTAAAGTGCAGCTTGGCCTGGTGATGCCATCAGGCCCCTTGGTGAGGGGTCCGTGTGGCCTAGAGACCCCAGTTCCAGGCCAATGTCAACAGCGCAGGTCACCGTGTGACCAAACATCACCGCCCCCGGCCTCAGCATCCTGGTGGGTCAGAGGAAAGGGTCTGGGGGGGCATTGGAGGCAGAACCGCACCTGCCGGGCTCACCGCCCAGCACTCGGGGCCTGGCACAGAGCAGCGGCTGCATGAATGCTTGGAAAAGGAATGAACGAATTCTAGTAAGAAGGGGTTGCAGAGATGGGGCAAAGCCAGGGAAGAGACAGGATTCCAAGGGGAGGGATCAAAAGGGGCTGAGAGAAGAGGCCAGGGACCCGAGAGAGCAGCTAGGAGGTGTGGAGGGGATCAGGAGGAGAGGAAGAAAGGGCTGGGTTGTGTAGGAAGTGAGGGGCCCCATCAAACCATGAGGGGGTTCCTGGCCTCAGAGACAAAGCCCTTCCTATCTGGGTGGCCTGTGAAATTGCACTCAGACTGTCAGGGCAGGAAGGACCCCGGAGGTCCCCCTTGTCCGAGCCCTTTCACCCTGGGGTCTGGAGTGGCTGAGGCCACAACGAGATGGGCCGGTCCACTCTCCCCGGGCAGACACTGGCCTCCAGCCCCCCAGCCCCAGTCCCTGCATCCTCCCCCCGCGGCAGGCTGGGCACAGCCATGGCTCCCACAGTGACCCCTTTCCCCTGGGGCCTCTCGCTGCCCGCCCGCACTGCTGATGCTGACCAGGGAAGGTTTGTGAGTCCTTTAGTGCCACCGTCTAATGATCGTATGAAATATGTATGCCCAGTGAAGAGGAGAGGGAGAACTTTCATCTTTCAAAGGCACGAAGCAGAATCAGAAGAAGATAAAAAGTGGCTTTTGTGCCCCTGCCATGATGGGGGCCGCCAGCACTGGCTCGGAGGGCCTCGCCGGGGTGCTCGGGCTGGTGCCAGGGGCAGGGGGGCCGGGCCAAGGGCGCTGTGCCTGGGAGGAGGCAGCAAATCCCATCACTCGGCGGCCCTGCCACAAGGCCCTCCTGGGCTCCCCGGTGCCCTCAGGGGACGGTCCCTCCTCCTCCACACACACTTGTGGCCCTGCCCCTGCTGTGGCCCAGCCCCTGCTGCCAGCTCCAGCCTCACCTCTCACCCAGGCCAGACCAGTGTGGCCCAGCCCATCTGCTCCCTCTGCCCAGACTGCTTCCGTCCTCCTCGGCTCCCCAAGGCTGGGTTAGGGCTCGGCCCTTCGGGAAAGACTCCCAGCCCTGAAGGTGCCGTGAAGAGGAAGCTCTCAGCTGCTGTGTTTCCTCTCACCGGGCTCTGGCTCCCCGGGGACACGGCGGGGTCATGGCTCACGATCTCTGTCCTCTACAGCGACGTCTGCATCCACACACCTCCACAACATGCGTTCACGTACGCGTCTTTCATGCTGGCCTCAGGCCCGTGAGCTGGGTCCTGTTATAACTCCCTGCTCCTTGCCTTTACCTAATGGGAAGCAGACAGGATCATCCATAGGAAAGCTGTCCAAGAGCTCACCGCTGCTAAGTGGCAGAGCTGGCCTCCAAATCCCTGTGTTTAAAACCATTTAGCACCTCGAGGGCTAGGTGCCTCTGAGTCGGGCCTGTGTAGCCGAGGTGCAGCGTGCCATGCGGGCTAGGCCAGTGGAGGGCGCTGCTGGGGCCTGCACCCTGCTCAGCCTACAGCCTGCCCCACTCTATTTCTCATGCACTCTTCAATCAGCCTCCTTCCCAAGTCCTGCTTCATGTCCGCGCCACTGAAATGAATCCAGTGCCAAATAGACAGCGACCCTTGGGCCCACTTTAGGAGGGAGGGGTTGGGGAGTGACCAGGGTCTGTACACAGAGGACACATGTCCTCCTCGTGCCATGAACACCCTCTCTCCTGTCGTGTTAGCCACTGGTTTTGACTTCTTGCCCCTGGGTCTCTTATGACCAGTCTTGGTAAGCAGTAAAGTGTCCCAGTGTGTACCTATGGGTTAGATTCTAGCGCTGGGGATGGCAGGGGGTACGCAGAGACAGCAGAGGGGACGCCTGCAGCGTAACTGAAGTGCTCATCTAGAACCCTGGTCTGGCATTTTTTTAGAATTCTAGGAATGAGTATATCTGACTCCCTGCAGGGTTATGTGTGGGGTCTCACGGGCCGGTCAGATAGCTACAGGGGTGGGGGAAGGGGTCGGCGCAGCTGGCCAGCTCTCACACCGTACCTGGGAATTCTAAGAAATGCCAAACCAGGGTTCCAGGCCTCCCCTCTGCTGTTTCTGCGTACCCACTGCCATCCCCCAGGGCTAGAATCTCACCCACAGATACACTCTGGTACACTTTACTGCTTACCCAGGGGCATGAAATCAAAACCAATGGCTAACATGATCTTCCTCTGCTCAAAAATCTTTGGTGGCTCCCCATTGTTGCGGAATTAATTCCAGACGAGCACCCTGGTGTTGAGGCCTGGCTGGCTTTGGCAGTCTTGTACTCACCTCCCCATGACGCACCCGGGCTGTC